CTTGAAGGCCGCGATCAAGCGCTACTTGGCCCTGCGAACGGATGAAATGTTCGATCGCCGTGACTTCAACACGTACCTTGAGGCCCGCATGAGCCTCTTAGAGGATGCCGCCAGGGAGTCGCTTGGTTGTATCACTCAACCTTTGATGATTCGTGAGTCCCTGTTTTGTCAGCGCAACGTGATGAAAGCTCTTCACCTTGAAGATATGCAGTATGGCAAGTAGTTTAAGATTTCACTTTGGTTGGAAACCATTTCGCTTTGAAAGGAAACTTTTGCGTCTGAAACAATTTGAATCTTAAATAATTGTTCACATCGAAATCTATTTCACTTTGGTTGGAAACCCAACTCAATTTGGTCGGGAAAAGGTGTAGAGGTTGTCGCTGACTTTACGGTAATGTACCAAATGGAGTTAAAACTGATAATTTCATCAAGAGATATCGTAATTTGAAAAAATGTGCAAATTGAATTTTGAAACGAAGTGGTTCATACATTTACTGATCTCCCCCCGATTTGGACACGGCAAAAGGTATAAATTATTCACAGTACATCAACTCAAAAGGTTATTCGTTTTAACAGTATCTCTTTTTGTCACATCAATTCATATGAGCTGCAGCCATTCGATCGCTGAACGATGACAAGTCACAGGTCAGGATTCCGGTACATTGCCAACAGTTCGCAACTTTCGACGGTGACACAGAGCGCCATGCCCACTCCATCGCTACAACTAACGGTACTTCGTAGAGCCTGGCCATCACCGAGGGCAGGGCGCCAGGACAGGCTCTACAACCGAGTCAAGCTGATCCAAGGCTTTCTTCAGTTGCTGCAACTTCAAACAAACCCTACAAACTTTATATCAATCATTTTTCACAGGTAATTGTTTTTGAGTAGGGAGCAAACCTTGAGGGAGCACTGTGTATGTATTTGTTGCTGGTCGTCGTGGTTGCGTCTGAGCCTGAAATGATGTATTTCTACCAATCACCGTGGATATGGCACTACAAAATCCAATTCAAAAACTGGTTGAATATAAGTAAATACAAATGTCAAGATATTTCTCTAGTACAACTGGGGACTTTTCTTTCGCACACTGTACACTGTACTACGTAGCCCCGGCGATCGGTCCCGGTGGCTTGAAGCGTGCCTAAAATTATTTCGCGCACTGTACAGTGTACCTGCGACCACAGTATGAGTGTCGATTGTGCCTTGACAACTCATATGGTGGAAAGGCACCGAAACTTGCAGCCTTTGAAAGAAAGGACTATTTGTGTGACGCCGATATCTTGGCGACAATGTGTGCACATGCTTGAAAAGATGTAGTTGTTGCTTGATCGTAGTGCGGTAGAAGCGTACAGGGCTCAACAATGTGATGGAGGCAAAAGTGCTGCCGCCTAATACAGTCTGAATGGGGGCACGCTCAACCAGGTGACCTTCGCTTGTGGTGCAAGCTCGAACAGATACTGCGACCTTGCGTCCACGAGTTTACCGAGGATGACCATTGCCTGACCGACTCGTAGAATCTCGCCATAATAGTGGCGGACACAATGTAACATTCATCGACACGAATTGTATCAGGTCGTATGGACGCTCATGTACGAAAAAATGCAGTCGAGGCTTAGCACAAGCCGCCAGCCACGGCGTCCTTGGGGAGCAAGTTCTTGGCACGCAAGAAGGCGATGATCTTGGTCATCTTGTTACCGGTGTTGGCACCAGTGCCGTCCGCTTTGCAGCCACCGCAGTTGTGCAGAGCTACGACCTTGTTGTCGCGCTGGTCAAGAATGGGCGAGCCGGAGTTACCACCTTGCGTGTCCACGTTGTACGCCACGTTGTCGGCACTGCAGCCTACGACGGAGGTACTGGTAATACGGGCAAGCTTGCCGTCGTCGTTCAAGTGGGAAATGTGGCGAGGGTAGATGTTGGGGTGGCCAGCGATGTAGATGGGGTCGTCGAGCTGCACGTCGGTGTCACGGGCTTGCAAGTAGCCGTACGGGGCGAGGCTCATGCCAGGGAGGACATTCAACTTGACCAAGGTGAAGTCAAGAGTTACGTCAGTGATGATGAACGTCGAGTTCTTGGAGACCAAAACGCCCTTGCATCCGAGTTGCTTTTTGTTGTCGGGGTCGTCGACCGTGGCGCATTCGGCACCGAACTCAGCGATGACCGTGGAAGCATCAACAGCATTTTCAATGCAGTGATTATTCGTCATGAGGTGACCTTCCGATCCCCACAACCAGCCTGTGCAGTAGCCAGCATCGAGGCCGAGGCGGGCAGTGGCAAGGCCCACTTTGTACTTGGCGGCATCGGAGTCCTTGTACGCAATTGCTGGTTTGGCTTGATCCGCGCCACAGATGGATTCGGCGTCGCCGATGACGCTCACAACACCACCAGCTGAGGCCGACGTGGCGAGGGCAAGGATTGTCAAGGTCTTCAAGGCGGTGAACATGGCTGAAGGAATTGCAATTGACCGAAGCGGGTGAATTGAAAGATGGCCGTCGTGTGTGTGAGCTCAATCAACACCCCTTGCCCTGACAGAACGAGGGCGTGTAAGTTATTCCATCTGGAACCAGATTGCTGGTCGAGTGAATCATGCGGGGGCGCTTTCATCCGTGTTGCTGTTGTCCGCGTGGCAGAGCTATTCCCACTCACACAAGACTGCACCACCGTCGACCTGAAGTGACAATGGCACTTACCCATCGGATGGGAGAGACTTTCTACGCTCTTCTGGAGGCAACATGCACACAGGCTGACTTGTGTAGGTGCGGTCAGTAGCGCGCGGCATAGTGCCTGGACATCGGATGCACACTTCCACGAAGGAATTCCTCCGTATCACAATTACCCTCATCCACTCGCCACTTCTTAGACCATCCAACCTTCTTTTGTAGTGAAGAGGGTGCTGCACCGTCTACACCAGGCGAACCAAGCAAGAATACATCCACAGATGCTATGGATCGAAACCATGACTGTTGACACAACACACCGATGACTCTACCATTGGACGGGGCTCTTGCTTGGGGTGCGGTGGGTGGTCGTTGCAGCGGGTATTACTTCAACGTGGGTTTGCGCGGATGGCATGAGTCGCTTCCGTGCATCCAGGAGAGCTCACCCCGCTGCGAAGGTCGAACCGAACGATGCCTAACAAGAACTAATTCACTCCATAAAATTGTACAATATTTATGATAGAAGGTTGCGTTGGGACATTGGTGAATGATGTTACCAGGATTGAAATCGTTGTTTTAGCATGACTAGTCACAGGGATAGCTTTCAAGCTTTACTGATTTTACAGCAGGTGGTTCTCGATGACGATTGAGTAAAGGACCTCCTGTAATCCTACGAGAGCTTGCTGTCAATACATTGTGTAAGATCACAAAAGGGTGTCATCGGTCGTATTAATTAATAGTAACAAACTGGCGACGGTGGAGCGTGAACAAACCATATGAACCAATTTTGTCGTTAACATTTACACAGAAATGCAGCGCTTGGAGCTCGGTGGCTTAGAGCTTGAGGATGAGCACCAGGGCATGCAACACCATGCATCGATGCAATTCGGGCGAACGAGGCTTTGGGTTTTTCGCCCCATCCCCCACCAACCACGACACGCGTCCATACCATGTGAAAAGTACTTCGTAAAATTCAGTTCCATGTGTATCGAATTCAATGCGCCGCGGGCGGCTTGCAAATGCTGGTGCCGCCCAAGTCGTCGACTGTAAACGTTCAGGCAGTGCGATCGTGCCCAAGGGAGACACTGACCACGAACAAGGACCGGAGGCCGCTCTTCGAGTCACCCATGTATGGAACAACATCCTAGTGTATCAACCCGTTGGGCTGGCTTGAATGCAGCGCTTCACCGAGGGGACGAGGACATCACCCAAACACACTGGCGCAATCGATCGAAGTCACCCTCCACTTTGGACTCGCGAGACTCTGCGGTTTGGACAGTAACATCCATCATCCATCTTGAGCCTTAGACATGGCTTGGCCATGTCCTCAGGGTCGCTCTCTCGTGCGCAAAGGAAATGCGCTCGCCAGTCATCGTCTGCCCATTCGTGACAGGGCTTTCCAATCGTCCCGAACGCAATGCGTTCCACAGACAGTGGGTCAAAGTAACCGCTCAATGGCTACTGGTGAATGCACAATGCACTAAAGAATTCTTTATGGTCACTACAGGTCAGAATCAACCCACTCGACACAAACACCGTCAATTCCAAAGGGTGACTTGCGAGTCAAAATGATAATGTTGGAAAACATGGAAAATCGATCCATCAATTCGGCCACCATCCGAAATTCCGACTGAAGGAAATGAGTACCAGCGAGCACAGTTGGAGTGTCAACTGTGCCTTGACAGCGCATCAAGTGGCACGGACAAATTGCGGTCTTTTTAATGCCAGGATTACGTGCGTGGCGCCGATATCTTGGCGTTAATTTGTGAGCATGCTTGAAAAGATGTTGTTGTTGCCTGATCTTATAGTGC